AGTGTGTCTGGTTCATATCATGGTCTTTTCTATCCCTTTTTATGCATCTGAGAGCTGTACAATAAATAAAGATGACAGAAGTATTGATGCCTTTGAGCTGTGGTGTTGGAAAAGAGTACTGAATATCACATGAGCTGCTAAAAGAACAGATATGTTTTGGAGAAAGTGCAGACATGCCTGGATAAGATGTGACATAAAGGTAGATTACTGTTGCAAGAAGATTTAAAAAAATAAAAGCCAAACAACATTGTCCTAGAAGTTAGATTATATTACCAACAAGGAGCTATACAATAAAAGTGATAAAAATATTAGTTATCCATTCTGAGAAAGATTTCCAGTCAGCAGCGCCACTGGAGACAGCAATCAGTAAGCTGCACCCTTTACATGCGTCTTTTGTCTTGTTAATGAGCCCTGGTGGCATGTGTGTTATGTGCTGGACTGTAACCAAAAGGTAAGTGGTTTGAATCCACCAGCTCCTCTTCAAAAGATATTTAGAAGGCTCCTGTAAGGATTTACAGCCTCAGAAACCTAGTGAAGGGTTGCTCAGAGTTAGGGTCAGCTAGACAACTCTGGGGTTTGATTCCTTGTTTTGGTTTGTTTTGTTTTGTCCTGTTATTTCTCTCCACAGAGAACATCTTCCATATTTGGCTTTTCTAAACTACTAACCAGTTTAATGGACCAAGGCATCTATGTCCCATTGCTTACTAAATTAGCTTATGCTTGACATAATCAGTGGCCATAATTAGAATGAAAATACTTGTTTCCGTGGTGCCTCCATTACACGTAAGAAACAGAATTAACTCCCTCAGATAAAAGGGGCTCAGCTATATGAGCACTTCAGTCTTGAGTCCAATCTTGGAGAACTCCTCTCACAACTTGATATTTAAGAATTGCCTTCTTTCTCATGGGTACTCACAACTCTCTTTCCTTTCCAAGTGCACGTCCTTTGCCTTCTCCTCTGAAGTGCTTTAATTAATGTGCAAACTCAGAAGAGGCAGATCCATTTGTAATAACCCTCTGTGAGATTGTCACTACTTAGGAACACAAGAGATTGTGCTTCAAAATTTCCTGTAAATGTTTCATCCTACTACCTGGTATACTAGTGGTATTTGACTTATAACGACTGTGGTAATCAGTCTCTGTCTAGTTGATTCCGACTCATAGCAGTCCATGTATGCAGAGTGAAATCATTCCATAGAGGACTCTATGAAATAAGTACCTGTAGTAATATAGTACACTATGTGTTACAATGCTATCTGAAAGGTCAATAGTTCAAATCCACTAGCTACTCCAAGGAGAAAGATGGACAGTCTCCTGAAGATTCACAGCCTCAGAAACCCAACCGTAGGCCACTGTGAGGTAGAATCAAATCTATGGAATTCTGTTTGTGATTCCTTGGATTATAGGGTTTTCAGAATTGTGATCTTTTGGAAATAAACTTCCAAGACTATCTTCTAAGATGCCTCTGAGTGGCTTTGAAGCACTAAACTTTTTGGTTAGCAATCAGATGCTTAGCTGTTTGTGTCACCCAGGGATTCCATGGCTTTAAGCCTTCCCCTATGTTCCACCGGAAACTCTTGCCCCAGTTGGAGATGCACGCCTGTCAGGTAAAATTCAAATCCACTTATAATCCTCTTATCAGTTTAATACTTTAATGTTTTAATGTTTTAAAATTAAAACATGGAGAGGGACTCAGACCCCTAGCAGAACACATGCATGGCTTAAAAGTAATTCAGTTCCTGAACTAGACATGAATTTGAGGTGCATCGAGCTCAGTCATTTTCCTTTGCTTGTGAGGAAAAGGAAGGGCACTAAAGCCATGTGACATGCTCCCAGCACTCAACTGGTTCTTTGACATTATAGCCTCATTCTGAACTAGTAACACTTCTCAAAGTATGTTTAGTTGTAAGGGTCTTTTAATATTCTCAGAATAAAAAGAAGAAAACAGCTAAGATATTAGTACCTGTGTTGTCAGGTAGTATTTTAGGGCATGAGATGAAACTCAAACATCATTGTAGCAAAACCAGCCTGAATTAAAGCATTATCTGAAACTACTAATTCTAGAAAATATATTTAGAAACATTGCCTAACTTTAAAATCCTACAGTATTTTAAGTCCCTTTTAAGAGTAGGTTTTCATTATAAAGGAAGGAGACAGAGAAAGAAAAGAAAGACAGATAAGACCAATACCACAGAGCCTTGAATAATAAGAATAGGAGATAAATTCGCAGAGCAAGGGTGACATGTAAATCCCATTATTTTCCCCAATATAAAATTGTAATGCTTTTGATGTCAAACTGAAGAAATGATATATTCAAGAACTAAGCCTCTCTTGGTTAAATATGTAAAGCACATGTTTCCTGAGAGCTATCAACGCCAGGATAACCCTGGAATTTATACCTTTTCTTTAATCAGTGGGGAATTATTCTAACAGCATTATGTTTGATCAGTCTACAATATGGCTACATGTTCTTAAACAGATTGAGCCTCAGTCTGGATTTACATTCTCTCTTCTCTCCTGGATTTCAGGGGCTAATTTCTTAAGCATGCTTCTCAGTGGTAGGACAGAACAGTTATTAGGAGGGTCATTGCCATGAGATGTTTTACTCTGAAGATTAGGATGGAGATGGCTCGTGAAGTTATATTTCAAACTGAAAAAAAATAACCTGTAAAAATTATTTCCCAATTTTTTTCTGAATTCATAGAGATATCATTTCTTATTCTAACATGAGCTAATGTCCTCTATATTTTATCAATAGTACTTTGTTTATTTGCTATTCAACAGTCTAATATAGTTAATATTCTCACAACAATTTAAAACCTTTGTTTCTAGCATGATTGGAGAAATATTCTGAAAGTAGATCAAGTTCATTGGATAAACAAACCTATGATTTAGGGACTTAATATTCAGAGGGTAATAGGAAAACCATCAGCTTCAGAACTATCTTAGGATATATTTTTAAAATGTAAGTCCCATTCTTATTAATGAATTCTGATCCAGTATGTCTAAGATCACAGAAAACTTCACTAAATAAAATCATCCAAGTGATCTGTGTAAATGAAAGTCATTGGTAAAGGAGCTAGACTTTTGCAAAGTGTCCTTTGGTTGTTAGGTGCTCTTGAATGCACTTTGACTTATGGAAGTTCTTTCTATAACAAATTGAAATCTTGCTGAAATCATTCTCACAATCTCTATTGTGCTTAAGTCCATTGTTGAAATATCCTACATATTTCATTTAATCCTATATGTTACATTTAATCCTATCTATTTAATTTAATCCTGAAAGTAATGCCAGAAGGTGTGGTATTTATTAAGTTGACTTTAAGATTTTAAAGCTGTTGCTGAGAAAGCACACATGAATTGTTCAAAGGCATTCAGCTAGGAAGTGATCCAAATTTAGGTATTATTTCTACAAAAAAAACCCCAACCTCTATAAAATATAGGAGAATAAAATATGACAAAAGCCAGTGGCTATGGGCTCACAAAGAAAGAAAAACTTCATGCTGATGAGCATGTCCAGGATAGAGTTTGCCAAGTTGATGAGAGGCAAACCAGATGTTCAAAAACAAATGCATAAATCATCTTCTGACATTAGCGTATGCACTGGTGTCACAGAGGTCATGGAGGAGACAAAGACCTGGAAAGGGGGCTGAGGTCAAATAAGAAGGACCTTCAATAGCATGGTAAAGAATCTGAGCTTACATTTGCATTACTAGAAATCTAAATAGGTGGATGGAATGATCATGTTTGTGTTTCTAGAGATTGCTTTGGATTGGCAATAAGAAGAAAACCAGAGACATTAGTGAGGAAGTCTTCACCATCATCCAAGCCTCAAAAGATGATCTCTTAAATTTTAGGGTGGAAAAAGTGAATGATTAAAGTTCTAGAGAAACAATAATTGGAACCATGGCTATTCTATAATGTAATAATTAAATTAAATTATTTTTATGTAGATACCATATAAATATACAAATTATCATATCTACAGGAGTCAAAGTATCATCCCAGTAAAACAGTGTGGAAAATGAAAAACATTATGTATTCAATAAATTTCCCATATCTAATAGGTAATAAGGAATACTTTTGGTATGATGTGTTATGAGTTAGATTGCAAACAGAAGGTCAGTAACTTGAGTCCACTAGCTTCTCCTAGAAATACGAGCAATCTCCTTCTATTGAGATTTGCATCCTTGAAAACCTGATGGAACGTCACCACAAGTCATAAATTACTCCACAGGAGTAGGTATGACATTTGTTTAATAGATAACGTGTTACAGTGCTATTTACTTATATGTTAATCCCTACTCTACAGCTGTGTATGGTATGTATGGGCAAAGACAGTTTGAAAAAATATCTAGGATTGTTCAGACTCAACCTTGTTTCAAAATAAGAATTAAATTACATGTCTTCTTCTGGTGTCAGTTTGATTTCCATTAATTCACTTATTCAGCACCTAATATTTGCACAGGGAATAATAAAAGCTATGGGCTATTCAAATATTAATAAGCCCTAAGTTAATACTTGTACTTAAGTAGGTCACAATCAAAGAGAATTTAAGTGTATTTTTACCTAGGATACTCAAGTGTAGGTGACAGTAGTATCAGAGATCCCACAGGAGAAATCCAATCAATATCTCTTTAAATAAATATTTTTAAATATGTACTAATGATTGTTAGGGTCTCTGTGGCTTGACACACTTCTCTGGCCATTTCTGTAAGGGAAGAATTTATGCACCATATCATCACTCATTTTCTTTTTTTCTTACCTGCAGCATGATCTCTGAGAGAACAGGGGACTGGGGCAGTGCTATTTCTTCTGCACCTTTCCCACTCTAATTTCTTACCTGAACACTCAGCATTTATTTGATAATGATAATGATAGTAAGAATCGTTGTTCTACACAATCAGATGTATTCCAAAGAGGGCAGTCCTCTGTATGTCTAAGTTTACTCACCTCTGTAATGTATGGCTCTCTCACTTTGCCTTGTACTTCCTTTCCAGGCTTTCTACAACTATCATGTCCTAGAATTACTTCAGATGCTGGTGACAGGAGGAGTAAGTTCTCAGCTTGCACAAAATTTGGATAAAGATAAGCATTTTGGGCTGACCGAAGGTTCAAATGCCTTATTTTCTGCAAGAGCACGGTGTAAGCTAGGCCTTCTCTCCTTGAACAAAACCGTTTTATCAGACATTGAAGTGAGTCTACTCTTGTCATACTAAAGATTCTTATTTCTTTCCCTTACTGGGTTTCTGGAAAATGGTCTAGTTTATCTGGATTCTTTGATGCTTACAGAACGGAAATAATAATTTTAAAACAAAACAATAACAATGTATCTTGCATTCAGAGAGGACTATATAATTTGCAACGCATTTTTTTACTCATGGCTTAGTTGTAAGAATGCATGCCAACCTAAAGACATGCAATTTGATTCCACCAGCTACTCCATGCAATTTACAGCTTCTAAAAACCTCCTAGCAGGTCAGCTATGAGTTGATTCTAACTTGAGAGCACGTTAACAGCAACATATTTTTCTGAGACTTTAAATACTGTTATAGTTTAATTTGCAAGCAGAATTTTTGTAACAGATGCTTTTTAATCAAATAACTGAGAGAGTTTGATAAAGTAGTTGTTTATTAGTTTCATCTTAAAAATATGAAAATTAATCTGCAGGAAGCATCAGCTAGGTCTAATGGTTTTGTTTTTTGGCAGAATATTAGTAATAGTCATAGTAGCTAATATTTACTGATTTCCCTGTATTTGTACTCCTTCAGATCTTGCCACTGTTGTAATTTTTACTTAATCTAGTAATAGATTGAAACAAAAACTGGGGCAATGGGGATAGGGATGTCAGAATCAGTGAAACTAGCTCAGGACAAGGCAGGGTTCAGAGCTGTTATGCATAGGGTTGTTATGAGCAGCAGGTGACTTGACAGCAAACAACACAGTTATTGAAATCGCTATTCGTTTCATTCATTCTTAAATCAAGAAGCTTAAAAAATTGAATACTTTCTTGATCACGTAGTCTACCAGGGCAGAGCAAAGATTTACTAAGCCATTCAGACTTATGGTCTGTCAATTCTATTTCAATTGCTAAAGAAACTTGATAGGACCACCTAAAATCAGGCAGAAGAATCTTTCTACCAGTGATTAGTAGACAATAGACCATGGCAGAGAGAAAGAAGAACTCCTGGAAAATTGTAATGGGTCCTCTGTACGTGAGGATCAGAGCAGAGTTAGCAGACTAATTATTAGTGTAAAACTGTTTGCTTTAGGTTTAATTGGCATGTAACCCAGCTCCCTAAAGTTACTGCTGATGGAAAGGCTTTTACAAGGAAGCTCCTTTTGCTGACACAGAGGACAACAGCAGAAACTCCTCCACAAAGAGCAGACTTTTTCAGGCCTATATTCCTGTTGCATCTCAACATACATTACCCAAAAGGACAAGCCCTGTGAAATATGCATTTGAGATTTAAAATAAACAAAACCCAAAAACTGAAACACACTTTCCAAAACAAATTCACTCAGTATGTTCTGGTTCTTATAGTTTAGTAGTTCTGAGTTTTTCTGCTAATGGCATATGAATGAATCTTTTGAAGCCAAGAGTACTGCCATAGTAACTCTTGCTGGCATCAAAGTTGACATAGTTTGTAATGGACGAGCCTGCAGAGGTCTGCAGTGCTCTCCTCCTTCTCCTTCTTATTTTTCTCATTCTTGCTTTGCCTTCTACCCCAGGAAATCACAGAACTGAATAAAGTATTGTACTTTCACTTTATCAAACCCTTTGCTGCTGCTTTTTGACCAAGGACAGTGAGACTGTGATCTGTTTTAGGATGGGACAAAAATGTCACTATACATCCCAACTCTTTAAATACCTTGTGAACAGAATACCCTCAAAATACTACCAAAACAAAAAATGGGAGAACAATAGGACATCACACAACACCCGGAAAAAGACTCAGAAAAGACAAGAATGATAAAAACAATTCCTGGGAAGATTGTTGTTGTCAAATGCTTTTGAATCTATTGCAATTCATAACAACCTTATGAACAAGAGCTCTGAACCCTGCCCTATCCTGCACCATCCTCATGATCTGTGTCATGCTCGAGTCCATGATTATAATTGCTGTGTCAATCCATGTTCTTTGAAGGTCTTCTTCTCTTTGACTGTATACCTTTTCTAGCATTGCATCTTTTTTCCAAGGACTGGCCTTTCCTTACAACATTCTAAAAGTACGTGGGATGAAGTTTCACCATCCTTGCCTCTATAGAACACTCTGGTTGCATTTATTTCAAAAGAAATTTGTTTGTTCATTTGGTAGTTCTTGATATTTTTAATACTCTTTGCCAGCATCACACTTCAAAGGTATGAATTTTTCTTTGGTCCAATACAGAAAAATTGGAAAAATACAAAAGCAGGGAATATAAAAACAATATTTACTTGCATTTTATTGATTATGTAAAGGAATTTGTTGCTGTGGATCATAACCAGTTATGGATAATATTAAGAATAATTGGAAGCCCAGAAGATCCATGTGAAGCCGATGCATAGACCAAGAAACAATTGTGCAGAACAAAGGAATATTGTATGGTTTAAAATCAGGAAAGATATGTGTCAGAGTTCTAGCCTTTCTTCAGACTTATTCATCTGTATGCTGAAGAAATAATTCAAGAAACTGGACTGTGCGAAGAAATGCGTGGCATCATGATTGGAGAATACTTGTCAATAATCTGCAATATGTGGGAGACACAACTTGCTTGTAAAAAAGAAAGACTTGCAGCATTTAATGAAGAAGTTTAAAAGACTACATTCAGCTTTCAATAATGACTAAAGCTCAAAATCAAGAAAACAAGAACTTCATACCTGTGCTAGTAAGAACATAATGATAGATAGAAGTTTGAACTTATCAAAAATTTCATTTTAATTGGATGCACAATAAATATCCTCGGTAGGAACAGCAAGAAATCAAAAGACATATTGTCGTTGTTAAATGCTGTTGAGTTGAGCATGACTCATACTGACCTTTGAACAAACGATCTTAACCCTGTTCTATAAATATCATCATTTCTCTAATGTTCATAGAGTTTCTAGCATGTTGTTAAGGAAGTGGATGCCAATCCTGCTTCCAAGCCTGTCTTAATCTAGAAGCTCCTCCAGACACTGTCCACAATAAGTAACCATTATGGCATTTGACACACCAGTGACACAGCATTCAGCATCATAACAACCCCATGTTCCTTTAGTTCAGCAAACTGATCAGTGCTGTATCAGTCGGGAAAACGTTCTTCCCAAACACAATTAACATGATTGTGAATGAAATTAAAAACAAAACAAAACACCAAACAGCTTACACCTGGGTTTTAACTAAAACAAGAGAACTTACCCTTCAGACTCCAAATGCTTCACACATGAGCCTCCAAACTGGAGACTAGTCAGGCTCTACTGACTTTTAACTACAAAGACCTGCCCCTAGGTCCTGATTGATTTAAGAAGAATCTTCAAGCTCACAGCTGTAAGTTAGCTAAATCCAGTAAATTAAATCATCTCACACATGATTGTGAACAAAATAAAAAACTACCAATCACCCAACTTTCAACTAAAGGAAGAAAACCTACTCTCCAGAAACCAAAACTCATATTTCATTAGAAAAAAAAAAATCTATGCCAAGGACCTCAGTAAAGGGCTAAAGAACTAGGACGTCAGTTTAAAGTCCAAGAGACACCTGACCCAAGCCACAGAGAGCTCTGGTGGCCTCCTGTTAAGAAGCTGTGCTTCATTCCCAAAGGCATGAGGTGTTGGAAACCAAGAATTTCTCCACGAAAGAAGGATGGGGAATCATTTATTTCCATATCATTTCATAATCATGTCATTTGTCATTTACTGCCTCTGAAAACCAGTTAGAGGGTCAGCTATGAGTTGTTTCCAACTTGATGGCACACAACAGTTACAACAGATCTAAGCTGTAGTATTTTAGTTGCTTCCTATGCATTTGAAAGTTAGACAATAATAAGGAAGACTTATAATTAATAATAATATTAGTTGCAGTGTCATGCACTGCTACCACATAGATACCAAGAATAACTCTCCAATCTTCAAACATTATCTATATTCAGAACAGATTATTTTTGAAGCTGGATTTTATGAGGAAAAATGTGGTATCAGGATTGGAAGAAGACTCAACCTTAATTATGCAGATGGCACACACTTGCTTGCTGAAACTAAGGAGGATCTGAAGAGCTTGCTGCAGAAGGCCAAGGACTATAGTCTTCAATATGGATAGAAGGTCAGCCTCAAGAAGACAAAGATTCTCATCACTGGGCCAACTGGCAGCACCATGGTAGATGGAGAAGAGATTGAGGTTGTTAACCTTTACAGCTTGTTCAGCTCCACAATCAACACTCTTGGCAACAGCAGTCAGGAAACTGATAAAAAAAATGAATTGCACTGGGAAAAGATACTGTCAGGAACTTTTCCAAAGTACTGAAGAGCAACAATGTCTAGAGACTAAGATGCACCTGATCCAGCTCATGGTCATTACAGTTACTTGTTATGCATCACTGATCTGTACAATGACTAAGGATGACAGAAGAAGAATCAATGCCTTTGAGTTGTGGTGCTTATGAAGAGTCTTAAAAACCATGGATCACTAAGAAAACAAGCAGGTCTGTCTTGGAGAGGATAAAACCAGATTTTTCATTGGAGGCTAGAGTTTTGAAGCTCCATCTCACTTACTTTGTGCATGTGACCAGGAGAGACTGGTCTTTGGAGAAACATATCATGTTTGGAAGGATGGAGGGACAGTACAGGAGAGGAAGACCTCGGAAGAGATTGACTGATACAGTAACTGGGGCAACTGGGGTAGGTGTGTTGGAGTCAATGAGTCTGGCTCAGAACAGGGCATGGTTCAGAACTGTTGTACACAGGGTCACTAAGAGTTGAAGGTGAGTTAACAGCACATAATGGTGATGATGGCAATGATGAGAAAAATAAAATGACACTTTACAGCATGCTTGTTTGAGTTTGATTAAAGGATCAAGATGTCATGTGTTGTTCTCTTCTCTCCCTAGCCAAAAGACAACTTTGGTCAAGTGTTCTGTGGATCATTAGATAAATTTGGGATTCTGTGCCTTGGGTTATACCGCATGATAGATGAAGAGGAGCGTAACCCAGAACACAAGAGGAAAGTATATTAATAAAGAAACTTTTAGAGAAAGCATAAATACAAAAGTCATCGTATTCATTATGACTAAAAAATCCAGAGATCAGTAACCACAGTGCAAGGAAGGGTGTAGGGTAACTAGATAAGGAAGAATGGATACCAACCACAGGAAACCTTAAGGGGCCAATTATTATTGGAGTATTTTCTTCCAGAGAAAAAGTAAATGTACACTGAGATGTCATAGTTCTTTGATAGTGTACCCATCACTCACACCTGTGCAACTATTTAAAATAGAAATAGGAACAGTCAAATATTTACTTGTTTTCTGCTAAGCTCATTATACGTGGAAGAATAGTTAAGGATTTTTTCCCCATCCACTTCCTAAATAACATGCCTCCAGAAACCCTATGAACTTTGATAAATGTCGATAGTTGTAGAGGGGCTTCAAGCCTTTTGTTCATAGGTTAGCTATGAGTCATGCTCGACTTGAAGGCAATAAACAACAACAATCTGAATTTTTATTTTATTCATCCATTGTTGTACATTTTCTTAATTTCTTAATGAAGTACAGGCATAGCCATTGATGAGAGGGAAGATGGAAGCATTATAAAGCATTAATGAAGAGATGAAAGTTTAGATTAACTGTTGAAAGTAATGAAAAAATAACTTACTATAGAATGATAGCAGCAACAGGCTGAAGTCTTCATGTTACAGGATATGTGTGTACAGAGTACAGGAATAAGAGTGAATAATGAAAATTGTGGTCAGACAGTAATTTATTACAACTTAAGAATTTAAGGATGAGAAAATGTCAAGAATTTACAACATCTGGCATTTTGGCCAGGGAAGGGGTTTGGAGAAAAAGATCATAGGGTGTAGTAGAAATCAAAGAATTGCGTCTGGATGCTGGAATTGTACTGTGGTTACTTATAGGCATCTAAAGTGGTAATGTGACACTAGAGTATGAAAGAAAAAGTAGTTCCAAGTCCACAGACCCCAGTGAAGATGGAGGTCAATGGATGACAGTGCTGGAGGGCAATAAACAAGGAGTAGAGAGGAAGTCATGCTCTGGAAGCAATGCTGGAAAGCATGACTTTTCCTGATCCTTCGTCTGAATTCTGTTCACTTTCTTCAGCACACAAGTAATATCAGTCTTATAAAGCATGATGATTGGAAGACTGTATACACTTTATTCAAAGGGCCTCAGGGAAAATGGCATTCCCAAAAGGAAAGCAATAAGAGAGGTTTCTATTTGAAAGGAAAGATATTATTTTAGAAAATATTATTTAAAATATAATGTAGGTTACAGAGGACTCAGTGAAATTTGGGAGCATTATTAGGAAATGCAGGCCATTAGTGTCCTAAGACTTGTATTTAAGACAGAGTAATAACAACAGCCCACAAATTCAGGCCAAAATTCAGGCTGAGATTGGTGTTTAAGATAGAAGGTCATTTGAGCAGCAGTAGAGAAATGCAGAATACAAATCAAGAAAGGGAATCTTTATGATTATTAAATCAATATTCCGACATGGTATATTCAATGTAGTACTGATGTGTTCGTTAAACTCACAAGTCCTGAGGAGATGTTATACACCTATGATTATGCTAAGACATCCTACCTAATTCCAT